AATTAGAACGCTATCTTATAAATCAATTAAAAGATGGGTAAAACTCAAAAAAAAAATAAAATAAAAGTGAGTGACCTTCATTTTATATTATATAATTATTTATATTTATATCAATCGTGATTATTTTTTGTGATTTATTTTTTTTTTTTTTTATTAATAGAAGATTCAACGAATCATCCCAAGGAGGAGAATTCTAAGAAATTTGGTTATTAATAGAAGTTCATTTGGAGCTAAGGAAAAAGAACCTGAAATAAATAAAAAAATCTTTGTATATTGATAAATTTATATATAATGAAGTAGTTAGTTCAGTTTGTAAAAGAGAGACGGCTTTGGTCTCAATGAAAATTGATTACTTTTTGGCTTTTGGTTCACCCTTGATCTGGAACGAATATTTTAAAATTAACATGACCCTTAAATTTAATTAATGTCAAGACGATTTATTAACTAACAATTGAAATTTCGATTAAAAAAATTAAAAAAAATTCTTGCGATTTAGATCGATCTTCAAACTTTAAAATTAAGCGATATCAAGGAAAATTCTTGTGAAATTTTTTTAACAATATTTTGAATTTATTAAAACAATATTTTGAATTTATTAAAACAATATTTTGAATTCATTAAAACAATATTTTGAATTTATTAAAACAATATTTTGAATTTATTAAATCGATCTTTAAACTCTAAATTTTAACTGTTAAGCAATTTAAGCGGTATCACAAAGATTAAGCAGTATTAAGAAGAAAAATTCTCGCAAATTTTTCTTAAAAATGTGATTTCAATTTTATTAATCAGGGAATTAAGCAATTAAGCGGTATCACAAAAATTAAGCAGTATTAAGAAAAATTCTTGCGAATTTTTCTTAAGAACGTGACTTTAATTTATTAATCAAAATTAAAATAAGCGGTATCACATAATTAAATTTAAAAATTAAGCAGTATTAAGAAAATTCTTGCGAATTTTCCTTAAGAACGTGACTTTAATTTATTAATCAAAATTAAAATAAGCGGTATCACATTTAAACTTTAAAAATTAAGCGGTATCACAAAAATTAAGCAGTATCAAGAAAAATTCTTGCGAATTTTTCTTTAACAATCGTAATTTAGATCTATTAATCTCGCAAATATTTTGCTATCATTTATTTTCTTTTTTCTTTAGTATAAATATGGAATTTACAAGTATGGTAATAAATTTACCGAACTACAGTATTTTATTGGTATGCAAAAAACTTTTATCAATGTTTTCTGGTTGATTATTTAACATAAATTAAGACACTTTTTAATTATACCTATAATATATACATGATTGCATATTTAAGTATTACTAAGATGTTTGATAAAAATCCACATTAATAAATTAAGATTGCAATTAATAAAAATTTTTATGAAAAATTTATTTAATTTTTTTTATTATTTATTAGAAGAAAAGTTTATCATGCCACCCGGCAACCTTAAAACTTTTCAAAAATTCTAAAGTTTTACCTAGTTATGCTACCTAGCTAACCAACCTACTAGGTAAAACTTCAGTTATATGAAAAAAAACCAAAAAATAAAACTTCAAAAATTCTAAAGTTTTACCTAGTTATGCTACCTAGCAAACCTACTAGGTAAAAC